CTTAACCCTTCTTTCTTATTTCTATCCCTTTCCTTTCAAAACAATTAATAAGTTTCATTATTCTGTTTTCATGCATGCATATTTCTGTCCATTCCCCTTCATTCTTTCTTTTTTCCCTAGATTGTTGATTCTTAACTAAATCATTTTTTAATTAGAATTGATGAAAGGTAGGAGATATTCAGATTTTAAAAACTTTCATTTTAAACTTTGAAAATTGAGCAGTTCATATATAGGAAAAATGATTCTTGCAAACTTTGACCATTTTTTTTTCAAGTACTTAGCTCTGCCATATTATACATATCTGCTTCTGGAAAAATATATGTGATCCGTTCTTAAATTTCAAAGGGATGTATGTAAACCTGAGCATGGAAGGTAAAATATTCTTTGTTCAGTGATAGGTACAGAAGTGGGTAATTATTTCTCTTAGGATGTCAACATTATTAAGAATTGTTTCTCTCATCACACCTGCTGATTAAAAACCATGTAAGTGTAGTAGTTTGAATATGTTATTTGATTAGATGTTAAGAATTTCTGATTGTAGGTTTATGTCCTTACAGAGCTGGGCATGTTAAGCATAGATTAGAAAGGTAAAGTAGCTACTGAAGAAAAGGAGTAAAGGAGATAGAAACGACTATCTATTTAGGGTCAGTGCTTGCCATCTAGAAAAGGGGCAGACACTGCTTGCTTAATGAATATTCACTGTTCTGGACAGAGACCTCAGCAATATTGGACAGTCTAAGTAGCATAATTTGATATTACTGAGTCTTTAAAGTACAGAGTTTATTAATAACTTGAGTTCACTTATTCTAGGGGTTCAGTCTAAAATGGAAAAGTGACCTCTTTGAAGGAAGTCCCATCAGTTATTTCATTTATTGCATCCAGGCTGTTAGCCTCATGTGTTCTTGTTCAGGAACAAGGAGGACATTTAGTGGCAAAATAGTTCCAAGATTACTCCTGTCACCATTAAAACCAATAAATTTTCCTATTCCTCACTGTTGAAGGTGAGTTCTAGTGTCATACTCTTTTTTTTTTTTTTACCTTTGCCAGTTTCTTCCATTTTTTTCTTTTATTCTATCAGGAACATATTTCCCTTCTACTGTTTTCTTCAGTAAAATAGACCTGTAGGAAATTAAAACCTAGTTAGATAACTATAGATGATTAATTGCCCAGTTTACAGCACAGATTATTTCATGATCATTTGATTACTCTTGTCTTGGTCATTTTGTCTAAGATATATTGTCTCCAATTCACTTACTCATTTATTTTTCTTTTGTCCATGCTAAAATATACCTACTCAGTTTCTGATACTCTGCTAAAAGTTACCAACTTCCCCCCCCGCAAGTCCAGTTGGCTAGTGGTTTGCAAACATCATGTATCACGTTAGTCTGCATACCCTTTCTTTTCCACTTAGGAAAGGATATCTTGAATTAGGGAAATGGAAGAAGTGGTGGATAGTTTTGAACTCATCATAGTGTGCCAAAATAGTTACACAGGTTAGCACTGAGGTTTGTACAGTTGTTGGAGACAGTCCTCAGAAATAACTAATTCTGGTGTTACAGTTGGTTGGGATTATGCCAAGCACAGAAAAAGAGTGTTGCACCATCAAGAAAAAAGTAGAGTGGGATGTACCAAAATAATTACAATTCAAGAGAAAATATAGTAAATGCCATTACCAATGCAATGTCTTTCCATTGTATTTCTGGATAGGGAGCAATTAGTATTTGGAGTATCAGAAAAACACAGTGTAGTGGAAGTGGATGGATCTGCCCACTTATAATTCCAACCCTGGAAAGGCTGAATCAGGAGGATAGCAAATTCAAAGCCAGTCTGGTTTCTATAACGTCACTGTCTCAAAACAAAAGAAAGGGAGGAAAATGGAAAGATGGAAAGGAATAAAAAAGAGAGAAGGGAAGAAAGAAAGATCAGCAAAGGTATTGTAACCGAAATACCTTATATGGACTACATGCACAGAATGAGAGCAGGGGATTCAAATGGGGATGAATGTGAACTGTAAATGTTGTGTCACATGTACTACCCATTAATTTGATTATTGAGCTTCTATTTTGTATTTGAATATTAAAATTACATATAAAGGCATGCATGTTATTGAATTCAATCAACTGTGGGTTGAAAATATTCAGGAAGAATATCTATGCTGATTATGTACTAACTTCTATGTCTTGTCACTACTCTTCTAACAATACCTTATAACAATAATTCATACATTTATATTGCATTTCATATTATGAGTAATCTAGAAATGGTTTGAAGTGCAAAGAAAGGTGAATATAGGGGTTAGCTTTCTATCACTGTGAACAATATACTTGAGGCCAATGAAGTTATAAAAGATTTATTTTGGCTCAAGATTTCAGAACTTTCAGTACATGGAAACTGCTAACTTCACAGCACCAAAATGCAAAGTGGTGTGTGTGTGTGTGTGTGTGTGTGTGTGTGTGTGTAAATTAAGTAGTGTAATACATATTAAACGAAATAACATATTTTAACTCAGAAACCTTAGGGCTAAAAATATAGTTTTCTTTAGGCACTGGCAATCTCTTTACCCATTCCAGATGATAAAGACTCCTGACTTGCAATTTCCCATTAATTTCATGTACTACTATTTTTTTAAAAAGCTGTTATCATAAAATATTGGGCCCTCAATATGTGTTTAATTACCACTCAGACAACTTACCCTGAAGTGATTAATAAACCACAGAAATAGCCATTTTCTTTTCTCTTCGAACAGCATTGGTATTTTTAGAAATTCAGTTGCATGTGCCAAGTTTTATTTGTAGATAGAAAGGGGATTGTTAAATGGTCTGTCAATTCACAGGAAATCTTTGTTCTTTTAAGAGCATACCAGATAACTAGTTCCATTTAGTTTTTAGTAATTTCTTATACTCTTAAAGCAGCCACACAAATCATGTCATTATTTTAGATATTCAGCAGTTTATTACTAACAAAGCCATGGAAACATTGTTTTCTTTTCCCTTTTCTTTCTTTTGTTTTTGTTTTTGGTCTGGACATGGCTCTGAATAAATTAATGAAGCTTTAAAAAAATCAAAATGAAAACTATTGGACTTTATTGAAGTGAGCATTTTATTTGGAAGCCTCAATAAAAGACTAGTCCTTCAGTAGTAGATTAAGTAAATTGTAAATATATATATATATATATATATATATATATATATATACATTTTTTTTTTTTTGACGGTCGTGGGGCCTGAACTCTGGGTGTGGGCTCTGTCCCTCAGCTCTTTAGCTCAAGCTAGTGCCCTACCACTTGAGCCACAATGCCACTTCTGACTTTTTCTGCTTATGTGGTGCTGAGGAATTGAACCCAGGGCCTCATGCATGCAAGGCAAGTACTCTACCACTGAGTCACCTTCCTAGTCCCTGTATTTATAATTTGGAATATTATATAGTTATTGCAACAGAAAACAAGGTCAATAGATCTAGTGAGAAGAACATGAGAGATACAATTTTGAATTACTAAATAACATATGTAGTGATGTATTTGTAAAAAAAAGATACAGAATACACAGTTCCTAAGTATATTTCAATTATTCATCTGTTAGGCTAGCAATTAGAGGGAGATGATTAATAATAGGAGAATCTAGAAATAAATTCATATACATATGATAATTTAGTATAACATAAGTATAATAAATAAAAATGACATTCCAAAGATGCTGGATTATTTAAGAAATAATATTGGTATTTAGAGAAAAAGAGGAAGTTAAATCCTTCTCATTCCTGTTTTCAAAACAAATACTGGATTGATCAGATACTCAAATCTTTAAAATGAAGCTGTGCATGCCCTAGGAAAGTAACAATGACTTTTGATGTTTGGGTTTTTTATCTTTATTTTTTTATTCATTTGAAATAGAGAATAGCCTCAATTCCAAAGAATATGGTTTGTTTGCTTGTGCTGGCTAAATTGTTTATAAAGCTTTTGAGGACTGAATGAATCGATATATGTTTATGGACCCAACCTTCAGTTTTAATATGTGTTAAATGTTTAGAGGCATTATTATACAGGCTTATCCAGTGCTATCACTAGGTACCAACAACTATGTGTTTCATAAAACCCATTCATGAGCAGTTCACTATGTTGACTTTTGCAAGAGTATTATAAATGGTAATGTATTTATCAAATGAAAGAGAAATAATAAACAGGAAAAAACAGTTGAGAAGACACATATGAACTCAATAAAGTTACCTCTGGAATGTGGGCTTGGATATCCTAGGGAGGGCAAACTTTATTATATATGTTCTTATCACCTGAATAATATCAACATATGTTGCTTTTTATCATCAAGAATAACTTTGCTTAAAGTTATTTGAAATGATAGAGAACTTAGGGCTTCTATAAGATTTATAGCCTGCTTATTTCTTAACTATTTCAGCCAATCACATTTAAAAAAAAATGTCCTGAAGCAAAACATAGAAACATGGAGGCATATTGGCTTTGTTTTGTCATAAATTTATGTTATCTTATAGAACAGTTTTATTCCAAATCCAGCTCCATTTGATTTTTACATATTACTCATTTGATAATACACAAGCATAGTTATATCTTAGTGTAGAATGAAAAATTCACTATAAAAGTAAAATGGGAATGATCATAGAACTTCTGGGGGACTACCTCCCTGGGATACTCTGCTCCTTTAGGAAGGTGTCTTTCATTAAATGGAAAATGGAGAAACACTATCAAATAAATACAAACAGAACAACATAGCCAGTAATCATCCTAAAGCTTTTGTAGGTTTTACATTTTGAGTAGATTTCATAAAAGACATTTTTATTAGCTCAACTTAGCCCACTAAAATAAATGCTTGACTATGTACTTAGAAGTCTCACTGAATCTAGTAAATGTCTAAGCTGGTAGACAGTTTAGTCATTAAAGTTATAATCCAATTAAAGCTAAAAGAACAAAATAAAATTTTAATCAAATTTACCTTAATTTCTTTGTGTGTCTTTGTCTTTTCTTTCTACAGGTTCTAGTAATGAAAGGCAGTAATAGAAATAAAGATTCAACAGAAGAAGGGACTGGAAAACGACCAAAACGGAAGTGTCTTCAGTGGCATCCATTGCTAGCAAAGAAACTTTTGGACTTTTCAGAAGAGGAGGAGGAGGAAGACGAAGAAGAAGATATTGATAAGGTAATATTTCCATTCCCTAAAGAAGTTTCAATAATAATACTTTAAAAATATAGTTAACAGGTATAGTATGAAAGGTATGTTTCTAAAAGGGATGGTAAGGGGAAACAAAGGAGAAGGTAACAATGCTTGATAAGAAATGTACTCATTACCTTGTCCATGTAATTGTAACCCTCTGTATGGTATTTTCACAATAAAAATAAATAAAAGTTTTACATGGAAGAAAAAAATGCTAATCGAAATGAACTCCAAGAGTTATTTTTTTTTTAATGCAACATGTGAAGTTATTTTTTTTTCTTTCTTTTTTCTTCTTCTCTGGTCACTGTTTTTGATTTTGGTACCCTGTGTCTTGTATATTAATTTATCTGGAAGGGAAGGGGAATCACAAAAGAGTGAGACAAAGGACAAAGGGTGAACCAATACAACAGCCTTAGTCACAGGACACTGTTGGAAATGAACTTTACAACTTGGGGAAAAGGGAAGTCAGAGGGAAGGGAAAGAGGGAGAAAACAAGGGAGGGGCAATATTGTTCGACAAGACATGTACTCATTACCTTACTTGTGGAACTGTAACCCCTCAGTATATCACCTTTACAATAAAGTAAAATTTAAAAAAAAGTTGATGTTTATACTTGGTAATCTTTGTCAGACCAAATGCTTTCTACTGATCCATATAATATGGAACCACTCGATTAAGTACTTGCTTTTTACTACGGCAAGAACACATTATTTATAAAATGACTCATTTTCTACAGCATTATTTTCCAAACCCTATTCTCATGTTGTATGTACCAGTGCTAAGGAACTGCATGTTGATGCTCTAACAGAACTTCAAACCTTTATCCTTGTTACTTTATCTTCCTATGGACTACCTGATATTTTTTGATTCATCTTTCAAATTTTAGCTTAGACCGCACCTTTTCTTTGGAGACTTTCTTATGCTGCTACTCATCACGAGTGCTTCATTATCTCTCTGTTTTCTTATTTCAGTTATCACACTACTTTTTATTTAGTTATCTCTATTTCTCATACCTCAAAATAGTGAACTTCTTTCCCCAGTTTTTAGCTTGGGTCTTAAAATTTAGTAATGGGATGAAAAGGCACACTTCCTCCGCTTAGATAATATAGTGTCATTCCTAATTTTACCTTAGCTACTTAAATTAAGGAATGTCAAATAAATGTTCTTTGAAAATACAAATAATTGTTAATTATTATATATATAATGAGAGAGATTGGTAGCCTTTATTTTTAATAAAAATCCCTTAATATATTTCCAAGTCAGGTCTGACTTCAACATTTTTGGACCATTTGTATTTGAAGATAACTAATGATTAATTGTATTTGCAATATGTACTTTACAAAAGACTTAAACAATACAAAGTCAATGAAGGAAGTAGTTTGTCCTAGAGTATCTGCTTATAACACCTGTCTAGTAAACATTGTCTAAAAGAACATGATTACTCTGTAATTGTGGTTCTCAAAGTATGACCTGACTCACCAGTAGTATCCACATCCCCTGGAGCTTGTTAGAAATATGAATTCTTAGGATCCACTCCAGACCTATATAATCAGAGAAGTCTTAGAATTGAGCCTAGCAATCTATGTTTTAAGCATCTCTAACGAATTCTATCCACATTGAAGCTTCAGAATTACTCTGCCCTTCTGCATAATACAGATTAATAACTATCTTGATTCTTCCTGATTTCAACTATAGTACAAGAAATTTTATAATGACTTTAGTGCACATTTTGGATTTCTTCTTACATTTCCAGGAAATATCACTGAGTCATATTTTAGCCTTAGAAGATACTTACCAATCCTAATATTTTCTGAGATTCGATAATCACAGATGCATTAGGAAGTTTAATCTGGAATCCATATGCTGCAAGTGTTAGGGAAAGATTAAAAAGCAAAAGATTGGACCATAGGACAAAGTGGCCATAGGGAAGTAACATTGAAAATCTGAGCTTTGTTGGAGTCCTGAAGACCTTGAACAATGATGAAGCAAAGTGCTTAGGAATGAGGATTCCAAATGGATTTTGATGATTTAAGCCCAGAGGAATTTACTCATATTGTTATAACATTTCACTTGACACAGCAGCTTGGTATTTACAGGATTAAAGATGTGTAGTTTAGTACTTTCAAATAATCATGTAAATATTTATTTTGATTATTTACAATAGACAATTCCACTTGTAAAGAACACTTAATGGACTGTATTAGCTTTATTTTATCTGTGTTATGGCAAGAATTATCACATTATTAGCTGTCTAAAAGCACTTTTTAAAGAGAAAGAGCTACCATGCATGGATTTTGTGTGTGTATTGTTAGTTTTAAGACCTACTAACCCCAAAATAAGTTTATTCATTTAGCAATTAGATGAGTTATATTAGATGAGTTGTTTTTTGTTTTTTTGTTTCCTGGTCATGCGGCTTGAACTCTGGATCTGGGTACTGATCCTCAGCTCTTCAGCTCCCAACTCCCAATTGAGCCACAGCACCACTTCTGGTTTTGTGAGTGGTTTATTGGAGCCAAGAATCTCATGGACTTTCCTGCCCGGTCTGGCTTTGAACCAGATCTCAGCTTCCTGAGTATCTAGAATTACAGGCCACTGTTGCCCAGCTGAAAGAGAATTTTTGCCCTCAGAAGGCTCTCACTGTTCAGTGAGTGACAAAAATGTAAGCAATTACAGCACAGTGTAATATATGCTGTAATGTAGATTGCAAAGTTGTTACAGAAACTGAGCAGGATATTCATCAGTTAATGATTTTTTTCTTTTTAATTTAACTGATTGTTAAAGCAACATTGTTCAAGATGTGTTAACCACTTGGCTTTTGTTTTTGTTGGTGATAGGTTCAGCTTCTTGGGGCCGATGGCCTAGAGCAAGATGTTGGTGAGACTGAAGATGATGAATCACCAGAACAGCGTGCCAGGAGACCAATGAATGCATTTCTTTTATTTTGCAAACGCCATCGCTCCCTTGTCCGTCAAGAACACCCTAGGCTTGATAACCGAGGTGCTACCAAGATACTAGCTGATTGGTGGGCTGTTCTCGATCCAAAGGAAAAACAGAAATATACAGACATGGCTAAGGAGGTAGGTTAAAGGATAAGGAGTAATGATGATTGTGAGTAAACACTTCTGTAATTCCCACTCTATCAAATATAGAGCACTTATTGAAAGTCTAGAAGTTGCATCCTGAATCTCAGGTACTAAGTGGAAATATAAGAGCTTTCTTTGTTCATGTCGTTCCACTTCTACCTTAGAATGCTGGTAAAGATTCCCAAGAGTCATATTTATTACCAAGTTTTTCTACTTGTCTATATTCCTACTGTTATAAAGAATTGATTTATTGATTTATTATGGATAGTTTACTGTGAATAGTGATATATTTATTGATTGATAATTTTTAAGTTTTTTGGGAACTCACTTTCTGCTGTCAGACAATGCCCATGATAAAGATGATAATTGGGTATTATTCTAATGGTTGTCATTAGAAAGAGTTGTCGTCTGGTGCTAAGTATCTTTGTGACTGAGATAAGTCCATCATTGGGTATTAGCTTCTTTTTTAATGTTGTTAGAATAAAGAAAGTGGACAAAGATCTATATGTCCCTCAGCTTTAACAATTATTAATAGAAGTATTTCAACTTGTTGCTGTTGATAGTAGTACATCCTGAATATGAAAATCTAATGAATGAATGGCAATAGAACAAGCTATATTTTTCTGTACATGCAGGTAAACACTGTATAGGCAGTAGTTAGCAAGAAACATTTTCATATAGGAAGGCTATTCAAAGTGGTAGAACTTTGAGTAATACTAAAATGATAGTAGTTCCTAAGTTTCTTCTAACGTTAGATACTGGTGCTATTTCTTTTCCCTTCCCTCCCTCCCTCCCTCCCTCCCTCCCTTCCTTCCTTCCTTCCTTCCTTCCTTCCTTCCTTCCTTCCTTCCTTCCTTCTTTCCTTCCTTCCTTCCTTCCTTCCTTCCGCCAGTCCTAGGGCTTGAACTCAGGGCCTAGGCACTCTACCACATCAATCAAGGCAAGTACTCTACCACATTCCCAGCCCCTGGTGCTATTTCTAAATTAATCTAGAATTATTGTAAGAACACTGAACATTTAAATGTATTGTAATTGGATTTAGTGAAAGTAGGGATAAGCAAAGCTGTTATAATTGTGCTTTAACCTGACAAGAATAATTCAAATGTTTTTTTTTTTGGAGTTGTTCATGAAAAACACCACTTAAACATTTAGTGAACTTGGGGGCGGGGTGACAAGAGGACCTAGCAGGGATAAAATTCAATTTCAAATTCATTTCAAGAAATTTTACTAGATACCTTAGTAGTAGGAAAAAAAATACTTCCCTTGTTGTGGTTTTATTGAATTGTTTAATAAGGTAACAGTAGTTTAATAAGGTAACAATAATTTCTTACAAGATGTTCAGGGAAATTTGAATCCAGAGTAAGCAATTAGTATAATTGTGTGTAATTAATGATCACACAAGGCTTTAGGAATTGATTACTGTTAAAGATAGAATTTTAACTATGTAGGGCATCTGGAAAATTTAAAATCAATTTCAGCAACCTGCAGCAATAGTTTCAGTAGATTTCCACTAACATAACACTAATTAACAATAAAACTTTCTCATTAAATAGCCTTATATCCTTTCATAATCATGCTTACATGATAAATATCTGAAACCTCACAGGGAGCTGCATAAACTTCCTATAATTAAGCTCTTGAGTTTGTTTGTGGATTATTTTTTGATAACAGCAGCATATTCACAGTATATTATTTGCCTTCTCTTAAATACAGCTAATTTACAACCCAATAGGTGGCCACTTTTAAGAGGAAGAAGTATTATTTTTGCACAGGAAATCCCTCACTAATTAATTAGGTTCACAATGTTTGTCATTGTTGGTGTTATAATGAAATTGTTAATATGGTCCCCTACAACCTAAATGTGAAAACCATAATGTCCTACAGTTTAGCTTGTCTCATTTATAGTTGCTCTTATGAAAGGTCCTCTTATTTCTAGTTCCTTTTGAAAGATTAAGGTACTTTCAAAATTATTATACAATTGGGTCTCTAGTCATGATTCTTACTGGCTTCAACTTATTTGCTGTGTTTTCACAGTTCTATTAATGTACATGTAACTGGGCTGGTACCTTTGTGTTAATATTGCAGGCTTACTTAAAATGTCAGTTTAGGCACCAATACTGCTTAAGTGGTAGTTGGTAGTGATAGAAGGCCACTATCAACTACTCCTGTTTTAAAACAATACTTTAGTCACTGGTGGCTCACACATATATCTTAACTATTAAGAAGACTGAGATCTCATGGGCCATGGTTTGAAGCCAGATGAAGCAGAAAAGTTTGAGATTCCATCTTCTAAAACACTAGCAAAAAACTGAGCTGGAGGGGTTATTCAAATAGCACAGTGCCAGCTTAGCAAAAGGCAAAGCAAGCAAGTATGAGGTTCTGAATTCAAACGCTAGTACCTACCTACAGAAAAAAACAAAAATCTCTGTTGTAGATACATAATCTTTTTAGTTTTTATAAGCTCCAATATTTAAATATTATTTAAATATTCTTATAGTGCATATGTGAATGTGATTACATGTGTTTGCCATTGTCATAGCAGTGAGAAATACAACCATGCATCACTTAATGACAAGATGCATTTTGAACCCTTGTATTTAGGCAGTTTAATCCTTGTACAAGCATTGTTAGTGCATTTATATAAGACATTTACATTACCATTAGGAATATAATCTTAGTGGAACACTATTGCATATGTGCTATGTAGTTAGTTGACCAAAATATTGTTATGCAATTTATCTTTTTCTTTTGGTTTTCAAAGAAGATATTTTGATAGCAAGAATGATAAATAATAAATATAACTCCGTGGAAGTTTTTTTTTTAATGAAAATACCTTCTTGATATTTCTGTTCCTCCTAGTTATGTTACATTTATAGATTTGGTAAGATGAGGTCCCAATCTAGAATTGGACATTTTCGTGAGTTACTATACTAATTTGCATTGTTGTAAAACAAAATTGGTTGAGTGAGGGTTTCAGGTTCTCCCATAGACGTTATCTAAGCAATGATATACAAGTAATCTAAAACATACTATCCTGAGGATTTAACCGAAGTTGCTTTCTTAATTTAAGAAATATGACATAGCAATGTTTTGGTTGTTTACAGGTTCTAATTTTTAAATGTGTTTACAGGTTCTAATTTTTAAATTGCAGAAGCAATTTTCCTTTTCCTTTCAACATATGTATGTGATGTATGTACAGATGATATAAATGTAAGAATACAAAACTCTTGATTTGTGCTTAGGATATTACTGGAACCTTCCACTTGTTAGTTAAACTAATGATTGCAATTAATGTGTTGACACTGAATTTGATTCATCACACATATTAACCTTCAGCAGAAAGAGTTAGTATAAAGAGGGTGAGAACATCTGCAAAGTTTAACAATCCCAGTGAACTTCTAAGAAATCATTCTTCTGTTTGATCAGTGGCATGAGGCCGAATGCATGCATTTATTGAGTTAGGTGCAACTATGTAAAGTCAAAAGAAGACTCTAAATAGTATCTTATATAGTCATATGGTCATTGAATTGGAGCTAAGGACATTTTTTTCTGTTGGACTTCATGCCTTTTATTATGTGTCTTTATCCTATTTTCTTTAGATAAGTGAGAGATAAGTGAGTGGTCTTGGGTAAAATATATAAAGAATGGTAATGCTAAAATGTCATGTCTTGTGGGAACAGTGCTTCTATAGAAGGAGGGTAGAAAAGGCTTTACAAAGTCCTTGGTTTTGGTATAGGATTGAGAAATTGAAAATAGATGTAGGAAAATGAAATCACTTTAGGAAGTAGGAAGTGGTTTTTTACCTAGTTTGTGTGGGTGAGTCCATAGGAGATGGTAATATAAAGATAAATATGACAATCATCACAAGAAATCAAGCTGAAATCTAGTATGATTAGTTGAATGTCAATAGAACTGCTCTTGATGCTAGTATCTGTTGTCAATATGCAAGGATATATTACCATCATTACAAAACTGGTGGGTTTTATTTTGTTTTGTTTTGTTATCCATCCTAGGCTTGAACTTTGGACGTTGGCACTATTCCTAAGCTTTTTTTGTTCAGGGGCTATCGCTCTACCACTTAGGCCACAGCTCTACTTCTTGCTTTTTTGGTAGTGGTAGTTTACTGGAGTTTATTGTGGAGTTTATAGTGGAGTTTATTGGAGTCTCAAAGGCTTTTGAATTGTGTTCTTCAGATCTCTGCCTCCAAAGCATCCAGGATTACAGGTGTAAGTCATTGGCCCCAGATACAAAACTTCATTGTGTTTTAAATGATTAGTTCTGCCTGAACATTAATTTAGGGAAAAATCAACTTATTTTTTATCGAGATTAATTTGTGTAAGGGATTTTTATTCCCTTGTTTGGGTTTTATTTAAAATGAACTCTACTCCAAAGAAGTTGTAGCCACATTTCTCATGAGTTATAAAATCTAAAGACTTTTTCTTAGCTCTTTTGTATTATGCCTCCAGAATTTGTGTTCTCAAAGCATTCTAGAACTTTGTTATCTAGTATGGCTCTGTCATCAACCATCTTTGTGAAGTAGATGCTAAACATGATTACCAGATAGATGAAACTTTAGTGCTCCTTTAAAAATCACTTTTTAAAAAATATATTTTCCCTTAAAACTTTCTTATACACTTCTATTAAAAGTATTCAGATATCTTTAAACATTTGAAAACATAAAGTTCAACCTATTATTATTTTTTAGTATAGTCTATAATTTGGTGAGATCTTTAATATCCAATTGATCTCTGTTTAACAATGATTCTCTGAATTTCCACTTAGTAATTTTTCCATGGGATTTTCTTTTGGGTACACTATCAATTATGAGTTTTCTTGGTTACACCTAATCAAAGAACTTACTGTATGTGATTTTCTGACTGGTATAATAGGGACCTCCCCACTTTGAACAGAAGTGAGTAATAAAACCATATATAAACTACCTTTTTCCTTGTTTCTTAGACTATTTCCTTTCTTACGTTCTAGATATTAGGTCT